CTCTCTCCCACCCTTTCACACACACAGACACACACAAATGAACAAACAGCAATTTTACAAAAATTAAAATACTAAAATGAGAAAAAAGAAAAAAAAAAGGAAGAGGAGAAAAAAATCAAGATCACGTGTATCTGTCTTTGCACTTTTAGATCTAGAATAAAAAGGATAGTAGCCCCTACTGTGCATGGTCTTCCCCCAAATTTAGGCATGTGTGTGTTTGTTTTTGTTATTAAATCCCTGCCCTTCCCATTCATAGTGGTTTTGATCTGAATTGGTTCATGCTTAATAAAATAAGGAAAAACAAAGAAAAAGCCAATGTCTTGGAGATTCAAAAATTATCAGGTACCTGATCGTATCTATTCGAATTCTACTTCAATCAAATACCTTTTTGCAAAAGTCTGCTCCCTACCTTAGTTGTAATGATAGTAAAGCAATGGCTCTATACCATTTAACTAAGAGTTTATTTGAACAAGCATTTTGTAATCAAGATGGTCAAATTAACATCATGTATGGGTGCTGCAGAGCCTGTAGAACCAATGTAAAGCATCTTGATTGGATTTTTACATACTATTGTCCGCAGAGGGGAATATATATAATGTGGGTTTGTCATCTTAAAAGCCAAACTAGCCTCAGTTTGGTGAATGAATGATGCATCTTTTATATAACCGATTTGGTCCCTAAGCGAAAGGAACACCTGCTTGGCAGTAAAAGAGCCTCAAATGCTTTCAAATTGATACAATTGTGCCGATTGAACACAATATCTATTTGGTAGATAGGTATCCAGAATTTCTGAGCTTTGGGTAATTCTGTTTTCCATTCTTCTCCCTCTTTATACCTCAGAGGATTGGGATGGCATTGAAATTGGGGGAAGGAGCAGTTCTAGTTAGTATTATAGAGGTGAAGAGAATAATTATAATTGATTTCCAGTAATGTCAGCTGTCCTAACCTTACTATTAATCTGACAGAAATGTCTTGTTTATGTCCCCTTTGTATCATGTTTAATTATATTAAATAAAATAGTCAATTAATGTTTGCATTGTTTTTGTCCTTTCCTGTCAGGAAGATGAGGTGATCACTTTGTATAATCTGGGATTTTAATTATTGTGTGGTGTGAGTTTAGTAGATGCACGTTAGTCTTTTTTTCCTTCATATTCTTAAAAAAAAATTGTTTGGGATTTCACGGGCTTTTCTGCATATTATTTGAGATGAACAATTATTTTGAGCATGCTCTCTCTGTGCATGTATTAGATAGACTTTTAGTTAGAATCTTTAGTACCTTGAGTTGATAATAATGTGTTCTGTTTGAAACTAAATAGATAAATAATCAAAACTGCTAGTATGTTTATAAAATATAAACTTTGGTAAAACAATGCCATCATGCTGAAATGAATGCTTGGTTCTGTTTCCAAGGATCATTATTTACTGTAATCTTTCAAATGTTGTGATCTCGTATTTCATTTGCGGTATCTATTCCGGGCCTCAAGTAAAGGATTTCCCCTCCAAAATGATGCTTTAATGGAACCAGAGCATCAAAACCACACCCTCAATTTATATTCAGACTCTCCTGGTAGGAAAAGTACATTTCTCTGTCAGCCAGTGGAAGTGCTGAGCTACACGAAGCTTTCTATGTTCCAATCAAATGCATTGTCTTCATTTATTGTGTGAGTAACAATTGTTCAAAGCACTTTATAGGCAGGCTTCAGGAACTATACTTTGCATCTGTGACCCAAAGCTCTTGGAGTGAGGATATTATGTATGCAAATAGATTCAGTAGTATTTTTATGAAGTGAAAGCAAGCCAAAGTAAACAGAAGATGATATGAAGAACAGAATTTTAAATTCTACTTAAAATCTTAGGATTTTTCGACACGATGGGGAATCTTATCCAGAAACAACAACAATAACAAATAACAACAACCAGGGAGATCTGGGATGAATTTGCAGCTCTCCACCCATTTTGATTTTGCAATAGCTCATTCTCCTGCCCGCGTGTTAGCAGTACAGTAGATTCTTCCTTAACAATTCCTTCTAAGTTTGGGACATATTTTGTTCCTCACAGTGCCTTTTTTTTATTCATCTCAGATCTCCCTGTTTTTGTTTCTGGATAGATTCCCCATCTTGTCTAAAAATCCTGAAATTTTAAGCATAATTTTAAATTCTGTTCTTCATGTTCTTTTCTGTTTATTTTGGCTCGCTATTAATCAGTAGAAGTATGATTCCTCGTCCCTTTGTGATTGCTTAACATTAATCTTGTTTATAGTACCAAAAATCAGGTTCCCTGAAGGACCCCCTGCTAGATGACCATGGAGATTTTAACAGAATGTGCACCGCAATGAAGAAGATTGGGCTTAACGATGAAGAGAAGCTGGACCTCTTCCGAGTGGTTGCTGGTGTTTTACATCTGGGGAACATTGATTTTGAAGAAGCTGGCAGCACATCTGGTTAGATGGTTTTGCTGATTTGATGGCACATAATCATTCTTTTTATTTCACTAAAAAAGCAATGCTGAAATTTCTGCCACTTAATTCTGAAATTAAGAGTTTATTTCCTAGCAAAGATTTAAAAACTTTATATTTGAAAATAATTTTTAAAACTATTTGCAGTAAGGCATGCTAATATCTCTCACTTGCTAGAATAACTTTGTACTGTTCTTTCTCCTAAGCTGGGAAAAAGTATATGTAATTAAAAAGGCAAAAGCTAATTTTTTTTAAATTCCTTGGAGAAATTAAGACAAGTAAAATTACTACAGTGGATCAGGAGCAAGCCTCCTTTATGATGCCAGGATGATTCTAATTTATTCAATTGATCATTCACCCTGTACTAACAGTACCAAGGCAATATACAAAAAAAAAAAACTAAATTAAACTGCAATTACTGTAGAAGAAATTAAGAAGCAACAGATAATATAACTGTAAAGTAATTGTAATACACACACACACACACCTGCAGGGGTAGAAGAATATGGAAAGGAAACATAGGAAATAATGCACTTGAGTCTTCAACATCATATGAAATCCAGAGCTAAGTTTATTCCCCTTTTATTACATGCAAGACACATTGTGGGTTGAAGAAACAGTGTTCCCTAAATTGTACCTCTGTGGCTTGTTTTACTCCTTACTGTTTTGCCCCAAATACATAATTTAAAATGCTGAGTGAATATTGAAATCAAGAGAAACATGTTGAATTAGAGAGGTATCTTGACAATGTGGCAGGCCAGAGTGGAAGCAGGTTTGTAAGATTCACAAATAGAAAGAAACACAGTGGGATCCAAAGAGGATCAATGAATATCATATATCAAGTGTAGCTTGATTATTTATTTGAAACCATTCTTGATATTTTAAATATGTATTCTGCTGTTTAAGAGGAGTAGGAACAAATAGCACTGAAGTAATATGAAATTTTCATGAGTGTTTGTGCACAGAATTGCTTTTAAATTGAATTTACGTTATACCATACTCTTCTTGGGAAGTTTTTAATGAAGCTTCTATGTGGATTCCTGTATTTTGAGCAGAGGTTTTTCTTATTACCTGCTCCTTTCTTAAGACAGTGCTAGGAACTGAACCACAAAACACTTTTAACAACTTTACCTTGATGATTACCGCCTTTCATTTT